TTTGATCTTTACTAGAAACTTACAGGAGGAGAAAAAATAATAAGAAAAATAAAAACAAGTTTTTTGTTTCTTCACAATGGATTCTCGCTCATCTCTGTTGATCTGATAAAGGGAAGGATTTCTCTTCCAAATTAATCCCTTTTATACACTATGAACAAAGAAAAATAAAAAAAGGCTCATACATGGGTTCCATAATGTCATACATCTCAGTGGATGCATGGAAATGTAGTGGACCGGACCATTAGCCATTCATCTCTCCAACATTTTTATGGTTCACTTCGATTATGGTCTCTCCATTGCATATCATGCCCATTAATCAACATAAACTTTTGACAAACCAAAGTAAGTGGACCTTCAAAGTTCATAACTTTTTAACATTTTTGGTGGAATTCCTCTCTAATCAATACCAAATAACATTTGAAAAGAATTTTCAAGATAATTTATTTACATTAGTTGAAAAAATATTTTCAATTTACATGTTACTTTTTTTTTTTTATCGACTAACTTTTGTAGTGATATTGGATGTTGCCCGAAGAATAATCTTAGCCCAACATAAACTACTCGTGAATTGTTCAAAACATTGGTACAATATATATAGGTACTCATATGTGTATATAAGAAGTTACCCTTCTTTTGGTAATTATATATTATTTTTACGTTGTCTCGTTTTTATTCTAGTTTAATTGTTATAATGTTTTAGGCTAGTACAGTGATCACCTACTTTATTGGTTTGTTTGAGACATTAATATATATCAATATCTATACTTCTCATTTATACAAAATTTAACTTTGTTTTCCATAAAATTATAACAAACATGAAAATTTTACAATTAAATATAAGAAATTAAAATTATGATTGAATATGAATTATATTGACTTGACAAATTCTTGCATATATCCTCAACCATACCCTCCCTCAAACTTATCCAATTTCATCTGATCATACCAAATATTTTAATAATTTAAAAATGAATTTGTACATCCAAATGGGTGCACATATCAATTCTTGCTTCCCACAAAAATGTTTGAGCCATTTATAGTTCTTACAAGCACCACAAACATTGCCTTGTGGTTCTTATCATTTTGTGTAACTTCCAAAAAGTTTTTACTTCCCAAAATACCCTTTTGCATCTAACCACTACCCCTTATGTGACCCTATTGAAAGGGTCATGCTTGTCATTTTGCATCTAGCTTGGTACCAAAGGTCATTTTACACATTTATGCTGGATTTGATTAATTGGAGTTGATCTCTTCCAGCCTACCATTAGCTGGTATGGTGATGATGGGCTTAGATAAATCACATGCAAATACCTTATCATAATTTTAATTTATATTTTCTCATTTTATTTTTTTCTAATAAAGAAATGGTTTCTTGATGTTTACTCTTGTTGGGCTCTGTGGTCAGATTACAAAAATTCCTGTTGTAATAAAAGTCTACAATATTGAAAATTTTTTGGCATAGAATCTAGAAAATATAGGTCTCAGAAAACAAATGAGCACAATTTTCTTTATTTTAAAATAATTTACAAATTAGTTTTCTCTGTTAAGCAGTTGATTTTATTCATTAATTGACTGGTTGTGGCATTTATTTCCTTTTCGCTTAATTATGTAATTTCATATTGAATACAGACAAATCCTGTTTAATTACCGAATTAAAGTTGGAAATGTGTGTGATTTTGAGTGGGCCGATCCGGCCGAATTAAATGGCTAGAAAATCAATCATAAGCCGGTTACCAAATTTAAACCGGCCCAAATTTAACAAAATAAATTTTTTTTCTTCTTCTTCATATATACACAAACCAAACGCTGAAAGTCAAAAACTTCCCCAAGAAGTTTCCCTCCAAATCAAAACTCTTCAATATTCCCTCCAAATTTTCAAAACCCCAGTGAAAAAAATCACACCCACTACTCCGAATTAGTTCCTTTTTCGTTCTATATATTTTGAAGAGGGAATCAGATCATCTCACAGATCTCGCTTCCTCTCCTTCTAAATTCCCTCTGATTTCAATTCAAAATCTGCCCTACTTTTTACTTTTCTTGATCTCCAATCTGCTCCATGGACTCTTTTAGGAGCTCGTTGTCGTTGACCACCACCGACGGCGGCACCGTGAGAGCAGGATCATATCCCCGCGTCGCCGGCGAGGTCCACGTAATCATCGGCCCCATGTTCGCCGGGAAAACCACCGCGCTCCTCCGCCGGATAAAATCCGAGAGCAACAGTGGCAGGTAAAGAAAATTGGGGTTTCCGGTGATGAGTTGACTCAGTCGATGCACAATTCGAACTTTTTTGACTTGAATTAGATTTCTATATCGTTCCGTGTGTGAATTTCTGTGTTTAATTCGTCGTGCCATGAGCAGGAATGTGGTGATGATCAAGTCAAGCAAGGACACGAGGTACGCAATTGATTCGGTAGTAACACACGATGGGGCCAAATTTCCATGCTGGGCACTGCCAGATCTTTCGTCTTTCCGTCAGAAATTTGGAGAAGATGCTTACGATAAGGTATCTTTGGCACTATTGTTGGTTTGACAATTTTCTCTTCTAACCCATCTTCTTTATCACTCCTCAAATAATACTGGCAGCTGGATGTGATTGGTGTTGATGAAGCTCAATTTTTTGACGATCTTTATGATTTTTGCTGCAATGTTGCTGACAAAGATGGCAAAATTGTTATAGTTGCTGGCCTTGATGGAGATTACCTAAGGTACAGTTCAATATTTACATATGGGCCGTTCCCAGATGCAAAACAATGGATCTTTCCAATATAATTGTGCTTGTTTTGCATAATTTTTGGGATCCTTTGCTGGTATTTGAAATTCCGTTTGTAATTGGCAGGAGGAGCTTTGGTTCAGTTCTTGATGTTGTACCTCTGGCTGACACAGTGACAAAGTTGACAGCTAGATGTGAACTTTGTGGCAAAAGAGCCTTCTTTACCTTGAGGAAGACAGAGGAGACAAGGACCGAGCTTATTGCTGGGGCCGATGTCTATATGCCAGTGTGCCGCCAGCACTATGCCAATGGTCAACAAGTGATACAAGCTTCCAAGAATGTCCTGGGATCTCGTACTGTCACAACTGGCTCAAATCTAGAGGCACTTGCTTCACTTAATTAAATCCACAATCTATTTCAGTTTCGTCTCTCTCTATTTCAAGTGTTTCATCAAACAGCTGAAACCAGCCTTTTTTCTTGTGTTTGGAAATAGGATTAGGATTAGGATGTAATTCAACCAATATTATATAGTACTACATTTTTTCTTCTGGAATATGATGCAGATGTACCAAGTTCATTCATAATCCTTCTGTCAAAACAGATTAACTAATCCCCCAGATATGGCTACTACAAGGAAAAAGAAATTTTATTGCTTGCCTCGGTTTCCTGAGGTCTTCTGCTGCAATTTTCCTGTTCTTAGAAAAATTCAAATCCAAGTGAAAATAGAAGATTTCATTGCATAGACATCAAGTCATTGACTAGAAATCTAGCGATCAGAATCCAAGTACAGAAATGGCGAAAACTGTAGTGCAGTAGGTAAAAGAGAGAACCATATACTTTTCTTGCTCATCATCAGTCAGTAGTAGCAGAGGTAGAGGAAACACTGTTAATTGCTGCTGGCTAGAAAACATGCTTCCCCTCTAATAAGTCTGTTCAGAGTCTTCATCCCTGACTTCGTCGAAGAAGGGATCCTTGAGAAGTTCAGAGGCGGAAGGTCTTGCCCTTGGTTGTGCAATGCACTTATCAATGAAAGCTTTGACTTCATCATCAGTCACTTTGTTTAATGCTTGGGGCTTTATTCCGGTCGTCACCTTCTTGTATATCTTGGCAACGCTGTCACATTCACTGTACGGTATCTCCATTGTAACCATCTCGAGCAAACACATCCCGAAGGAGTATATATCCACCATCTCCGTGTAATCTTCCTCATACAGCTCTGGTGCCATATACTCTGGTGTGCCTATGATTGAATGTGCAGCGTGGCTCCTGCCAACTATAGCTGCAAAACCTAGATCGCCTATTTTAACCTGTACAGAGGAGAGGTGTAATAACGCTTCAACATCACGAAGCAACACAAGTTGAACGAGGGGGTGGGCAATTGGATACTTGTGGCTTAATCTTATCTCGGGAATTATATAAATTAGCAAGCAAGTTTGAGATTTGATAGTTGATATTTGAATTCAGTAAATGACATCCAGACATCCTAAAACGAATTTATCTAACCAACTGCTCACTTTCTTGTGAATAAGGGAGAAAGCAAGAGTAAAATGCAACTCAAATTCCCCAACTGCACTTTTTCTTCGCTGTGATCATAGCCTCCGTAGCTCTGTGAGATGCCAACTAATTGATCATGACCTCAGTTTTAATTTCTATCAATACAAAGCCAATAGACAACCATGTGTAGCATATGAACTATTATTCAAGTAGCTCAGTCAAATGTTTCAAAGATTGCAGCAAGGAAGTCACTAAATCATCAGATTTTCTTTTAATTTCCATAAAAGGAGGTTTGGCATTGCACCTAAAACAATGATCAAGAATAAAAAGGTGACAAAGAAAAGTTATCTGCAAATTCTACCTTAGCTCAGAAAGAGAGAAAACTAGCGAGATTAAAGCAAATACCTGGCCAATGTTCCCATTGACAAATATGTTACTACAATTGAGATCTCTGTGAATAATGCAAGGCTCATGAGTATGAAGATAATCCAATCCCTCGAGTACCTGCTTTGACCACTTCTTCAAGGCCTTAATTGACACATGTCGATGTTTCTTACGATAATCCCTCAGGTTTCCTGATGTGCACACCTCGGTAATGAAATTCAACGTGTTACGCTCATCATCATTCCAAACACTGTAACAAACAATGATATATTTGTTGTTCAACGTGCTCAGCAGCTGAACCTCAGATCTCAGCCGGTTGATGAGCACTTGATCCCCACTGAAGTTTCTCAAGCGAACCTGATTCCAAGCAACCTCTATACCTTCCTCCTGATCAAATGCCCTATAAACCTTCTTCACTGCTCCAGACCCCAGAAGATCATCATATCGTCCAAACCTTCCAGTTGGATCCACCTCAACAAAAGGCTCTGCATCTCGATCAAATGGAATTGAATTTTCAGCTGGCATCTGTAAAGAGACACTAATGTAGGTAAATTGAGCAAATTAGTTAGAAACAGACATCAGTGCTGGGGTCCTACTTGCTATAGATCAAGATTCAAGAGTTCTTTTTTTGAAAAAATTAAAATGATCCAAGTAGAATGTGAAATCAAAACCAGATAAATTAAGAGCTGGCGGCTGAATCTTAGAAGGAATGCGCAGAGAATAATCTTCACATTCATAAACTTGATTCTTAATATACAGCCAACTCCAGAGTCCAGCGTCAACTTAATCCAATAATAACAAATAAATATTTAAAGGGCATATAACAGAAGTACAGAGACCTATCATTACTATTGCAACTGAAAAACATCATATGTAGCAGAACCAAAATGGATATACTTCGAGATATATAATCCAAGCAAAATATGAAGCCTACGCTGACTGCTTTTTCAGGTGATTCTTCTTCTTCTTCTTACTTTAATTTAATAATAAAAATAATAATTAAAGTGAAACCAGAGATTTCAGCAACAAAATATTATATTCCTTGTTACTCTGAACAAATTAAACGTACTTCAAGAGACAAAATTAACGACAATGATAAAGTCAAACGAGCTAGAAATCAGAAAATCCGAAGGGAAAAGGAGAATTGGGAATCGGGCTCACGCGGCAAAAATCACAGATTCAGATAGAGCGGGGGAAGAGAAAAAAGAAGCAAAGATCGTGCCAGAACAGAAATTGAAACGACCTCGACGACGGAAAATGGAAAATTCGAAACAATATAGAGGAATGGACCTTAAACCTATTAAATGGGCGAATTAACATGAAAATCACGATTGAAATGAAACTGGGTTAGCTCTGAAAACGAGTACGACGCCATTAACATCAGCATCTCTGTACTTGAAAGGGAAGCGAAAGAGAATGAATGATTACCTTGTGGTGATGCCGGACGGAAAATCTCTCCGCAGAAACGGAGCGAGAAAATATTTTCTCTCTCTCTCTGTTCCGTTCAGTTGGGTTTCCTTGCGTCACGTCGAGGCGGCAGGGCGATTCTGGTTTTATACGTGGCGCGTAATTCAGATCAAATCGTTAAATCGACGTACTGTGAACCCTCCCTTCTGCTTCACGTCTCATTATGGCCAATTTACGTAACCTAAATTTCTTTCTTTTTTCTTTTTCTTTGAAAGTACGTAAGCTAAGTTAAGTCCAACGACCATATATATATAAAAAAGAAAAAAAAGAAGAACAAGAAAGAGATGAAATATACAAACTTTAAAATGGATAACTTTGTATTAAAAAAAATGATAATGAATAAAAAATAAAAACCATAACTTTAACAATAAAATTTATTTTGCCAATCTAAACCTAGTCATGTTTAAGACATCTAAGAAATAAGATTCTTTTTTTTTTTTGTTTTGTTTTTGCCAAAGCATATGTTGTATTTTTTTATCATAGTTGTGAGTTTTCGATCCTCACCCCATAAGTTTGTATTAAAAAAAAAGTTCATTTTTTACTTAAGGATTGAAAATTTGGAAGATATTTAATTAGTTGTATTTTCTTGATGGGACTTTTTAATTATGTAACTTTAGTTTTTTACGGCAGTTCTGAATTTGTGTATTTTGCTACCATGGGTAGCAAAAACCTTAGTTATTGGTAAATATAATAACTTTTTAGTTTTGTAAATATGACAAAAAAAAATTTTAAAATTAGGTTTTCTTTTTTTCTACCATAGACATACTTAACAATATAATTGATATACTTGATTTAACGAATACTAAGTATATAATTGATATATATGTCTAATATAAAATATATCAATCACACTAAATATATCAGTGATATATCTTCAATGTTTAATATAAAGTATATCGTTGATATATTTGATATTAGATATATTAATGTAGGAGGATTTTTCAATTTTCAGAAAACTGCCGGTTTTAAAGGTATATTCAACTTTTCAATTTTTTCTCGTTTGGACTAAAGCCTTCAATTTGTATTATAATTGCAACAATTAACTATTATTTGTAAGTGGGCATTTTAATTATATATAAAAACTTTAAAAGAGAGAGGGTTGATGGTCCTAAAGAAGAAATAATAAGAATGGAGATACCGCCCCCATATAAATTTCAAAGTTCTAAAAAACCAAATGCTTTCTAAAGTTCGATATAATGTAATATAAATTTTATTTTGTTACTATGATTATTACGCTCTTGAATGATGTACTATGATTCATGAATTAAGTTTCTATAGTTTAGAAATTAGATTTAAGATATTAAAAGAAATAAAATTAGATTTAAGAGCCGAGCATAGGTATTGACATATATTTCCAATTAAAAGGGTGTGAGTTCGATCCCCCACCCCCACATGTTGTATTGAAAAAATGAGCTTATAGATCATCCCATCTACAAACTAAATACAATATTCATTTATACAATTCACATATACAAATGGATATAAATCTGAAAACTTTCTAACCTCAAGCTTCATAAATTTAGAGTTATCAGAGTTGTAGTGCCCCATGTGCAAATAAGTTATTTTCAATTCAACCTTGTATAGAGCAAGGGAAATAAATGAGCAACTTTGTCACAATTAGAAGCAACGAAGAGTTTCTACATATCTGCGGTTTGATACAGCTCATTCCATTACAAAACTTGCAATCTAATGTTTCAAAAAGAGAGAATCCAAAACGGGGTGTAGAGAAATTTAATCAAAAGAGATGGGTCACGTGTGGAGGATTCGGATTTCATGGATGGCCCGTGCCCATGGCGCCATGAATATCATCTAAATCTTGTTCATGAGAAAGTTTCATGGCAGCTGCAGCCAATTTAAGGTCTTTGCTTTCTTCATTGTTTGTGGACTTCAAATTTGATTCACCCCATTTGGCCTTATGGGACGGTTTTTGATCTTTCTCACAGCAACAATGGAGAGAGATTCACATGAATCCACGCCTGTTTACTTTTCTTTGGATCCCTTCATGCTTAAGATGAAGAGAAGCCCTTTGTTCCAAGTTATTTCAACTTTTTCGACTCTGCTTTTAGGGATGCAGAAATCATCGTTTTCGTTCATTACTGTAACGGAAATTCGAGTATGTTGTTCATTGGCATTTCTTCAACTACTCACAGACGAGAGGATAAACTTGATACTTGAAAGCATATGGTTTATTAAAGGCTAAATTGATAAAACTAACATAAAACTTCTAAATTTATACATCACTTCTTAGATTATGTGATATGAAGCGACCCTTCTGATATTTAATCTTGGACTTAGCCACAACACAATTTCAAGTTGACTCTGGTTTTCCAGCTTGCACTTTGTAACCTAACATCAAACTAAAACATAGTCCACCATGCCAGTGCCAGCCAAGTTAAGTTCTTGGTACTAGAACGTGTCAAGGAAAAGTGTATGTTTTGTCATAGCAGCTAATGGAGCAGAAAACAACCATGTCTCTCCTTTGGTTTTCAATGGCTAAATCCTGTAAAACGTGGTCACTTCCAGGCACAAGAAGCAACCAAATCCCTGTTCATCCAGCCTAAATACAGAGCCCCTTCTCTCTCTTCAAGCCTATACCTCTTACAATAGCTATCTAATAATGTTTTTATTGTAGCGTTCACCAAAGAGCTTAATGGGTAAGGAGTGAATCCTGCCATTGCGAATCGCAGTCTCCACTTCCCGAGTAGCTCGTGTCGTTCCACTCTCTCGGCTCCTTCACAGGCTAAAATGTTGACAACTTCCCTGGCTAGACAATGTTGCTCGATGTTGATTCGCTCCTTGTGCTGTCGTGGAAGAGTAACGTCGATTGATTCAAACATGGCGTTGTAGTAATCCAGCGTCTCGATGAACCGGGGAAAGAATGCAGCAGTGTTTGTGTTGGATTCTTGCTCGACAAGGGTCACTACCCTTGGAGACAGACCCTTGACCATCCTCAACAGCCTATCTCGATGATTTTCGGTGCTTACGCTCTCATCTGGCATATGGTGGAGCATGAATGCAAAATTCACTGCTAAAGCCTCCCCTCGTCGAATGCCAAGATTTTTTAGCTGAACATTGCAGCCAGAAAGGGCAGCCGAATGAAACTCAAATGGCACATTACACGATTTTGCTAACCTGGAAAGCCTCTTCCCAACAATATCTAGCCCGCCTCCGCGGGCATAAGCTGATGCGGGATCATCTATACCCGTTATACGAATGTGAGGTGGTCCACCAGGCCTGCCTGCAAAAGCTTGAATCAAAGTGATCCACTGGGTACCCTGAGAAATTTGGAAATCAATGATGTGAACTCTATCTTCATCCTTCATGGCTTCTGCAATGGCACCATTTGCAGACATGTACCCGAATTTGAAATATGGGCAGACCTCGTAAAGAACGTGCATATAAGAGAGGAGCTCCGCACTTGCTGGTTCCTTGCATCTCAAAGCTTTATAGATGCAGCTCCCTGAGGAAGCCAGCCGTGCAACCAGCCCCTCCAGCATATATGCTCCCAACCTCTGTATCGGTTCACCGCGAACCGACACCATCTTGCGCAATTCATCCATGAGCCATTGTGCCATTAACGCATCATTATCCGATACCGCTTTAGCACAAACTATTAGAATCTTTTTCAAGTTTCCTTTAGTGATAGCATCCATCACTTGTCCCCAACTTCCCATCTCTGGATTGTCTGTTCCCTCCTGGTAGATACTATCAAAACTGTCAATGACATCAGAATCAGGGCCAAGCATCACAGATTCCAACTCCCGTAGTTTGTGCGTAAAGTCACTAATATCATCTGTTATACTGGATCCGCTTACTGGGGAGCCATATGTATTGTCAGGAGAATTATTTTGATCCGAAGGATTTGAACGAGAATCTTGTTGCGATACCGGACTCCCGTTGGGTGAGAAGGTGATGGTCGACGTCGAGTTGTGAGCTGTATAGCAATGGCTTCCTGATGACGACTCCAGAGTGCAGTACCGATCACCGATGTCTTGAACATTGAACTCACCTCTTTGGTTGCCACCAGTGGAATATAGTTGGCGACCCAAAGTTTGGAATTGGGAGAAACAGTAGGCATCCACTCCTTGCAGTGGCTGATAACATAGTCTCTTTGACATATGTGAACCTCTATGAAGCTGTGAAGCTTGCATTTTGCAAATTATCTACCGAATGAAACTGATTTTCTCTCTACAGAAGCTAAGAGTTCCTAGAACCACCGTTTTTGGAATCTTTAACTAAATTTACTGCACATATAAACCAAAATCAGCATGGTTGTAGTCTTACAGAGAAATACCGACCGATAAAAGTCATCCACAGGAGATTGCCACAGATGCAGGTCTTAATAATCAAACAAAAATGGTGAAAATTGACAACATCAGAGAACATATCGACTCAAACAATCATTCTGGTATGAGTTTATTACTTGTCTAAAATCTAGCAGAAGCTGTTGATATAAAACAGACAGCATTCTTCAAATAGGCTTGAAGCTTCCAATTTAAGCTGCCCTGCAATAGACTCTCGACCCAATTCAACTCGAAACAATTATTTTCTGTGCTTGAAACCAGAGGTCTTGGGAGGTACAAAGTGTACGAAGGATGAAAACCAGCCTTAGCCTTTGTTTTTATGAACTTTTAGAAGTCCAAGAAGTATAATTCTACTTCCATAACAGCAAAAAACAGAGGAAGATATTTTCCAAGTTTGATTCATCTATTAGATCAGAGTTGAAAACTGAGAACTTCCTCAGAAAATCCTCTCAGTCCAAAGAACCATCCGATTTACAAATTACAGAAACCACAGTTACCGAAGTTTTCAATTATTCACTCACGCGATGGTAAAATATGCACTTGACACTTGCCCAAATAAGTTGGGATTAACTTTCTGCTTTCTTAGAAAAAGAAATTTAAAAAAGCATCAAGCAATATTTAAAAATTCAGTTCGGTGACTCATGATTATACCTTTCCACGTATTCGGCTATATCCCCCACCAGATCATCATTCAACTTTATAAAAATAAATATTACAGGAAAAAGATGCCAGATAAACTATTCACACATGAAACCGAAACAATGGAATTGGATCCTGTTTCATAAGATCTACCGCTAAAATCCAACCCCAGTTATAATAATCTCTCTTAAATTAAAACCCAGTTCGCAAAATAAAGAATCATAAAGTATATGGCTCGAAAACAGAAATTCAGGGAAGGGGTCAGGGAATCGACCTCCACAAAAATGCCCAGAGAAAACAGAGCAGAAAAACAGAGCAATAGACAATTTCGGACTCGAATTACCATTTCTACAGCAACCCCATTTGCAGCAGTATTGAATCAGACAAACAAAAGGAAGAAAAGTTTATACAAACCCAGAAAACCAGCAAAGAGACGCAATTGAAAACAGATGGATTAAACTCAGAGATTAAAATTTTAGAGGTCCATAATCAATCAAATTGTTGAACCCACCTGACTTAAAGAGTCTTCAGGCCGGAGTTCACTTCAGACCAGAGGGAGAAAGAAGCGGAGGGGGAGTCTTATGAGAATCACCTGAGAAGTCTTTAATAGAGTGGAGGAGCAAAAGCCCTGTAATTATTGCTTAACTACATTCCCTGCCACTGAATTAACTTTTTTACTTGAGAGTTTATTTCTGCCACCTGGATGCACGGAAATGACCAAAATACCCCCAAAATTATTAACAAAAAAGGGATAATATGCTCGCCATTCATGCCTAATAAAGTTAGAATGGATGAGTTGGTTGTCATTTATAAAGAATTCAAGTTTATCGGAGATAAATACTTTAAATATTTAAGTTTATATTAATATTCTTAAATATTTATAATTACAAAATTATATTTTTGAAATAAGATAAAATTTGAGTTATGGCATAATAAAATTTATGAAGTATATTGATTAAAAAGTTGTGGCATAATATAATCTCAAGCTTGGTTTATAAACAAAAAGGTTTGGGTGAATTCCAAAGACTAAAAAGCTATTCTCTCTCTCTCTCTTGTGTGAGAAACAAAAAGCTAGTCAATTTGGTCAAAGAAAATTCAATAATGCAATAGTTTAACTAATTAATTTTCCAAAATTTGAATACAATATTCAACTAAAATCTTCAAGCAAAGGGAATAGTTTGACTTTGAATGCAGCAGTGGAGACCATGCCATGACCCCACGGCATGGAGTGATTATTTTTTAAATTACAAATTTTTTTGTATTGATTTATTATTATTAAAAAAAAATAAACAGCATGCGTTAAAGTTGGCCAGGGATTGGTAAAGATTACATCTGGGGCAACCCTTAATTTCTTATTTTTCAAAAAAGTCATATCGTAAGATAAGGTTTATTTTGAAAATAAAGATATGGGAAGAAAAAGAGAGAGATTTTTGGTTATTTCTTTTATCTCCTCCCTGAAAATTTGTAAGAAAAATATTCACAAAAGGGGAGGGGCAAGGAGGTAAAAAAGAGGAAAATGTAGGTTTGAGTTGAAGGAGGAGTGGGGCCCACAGACCATGGTCGGGAGAGTGGCATACACGGAAGAGAAGAGAGATTAGCTTAGTTTAAAAGGCAAAAATGACGTGGCAAGTAGTGCCTTATACTTCAACTTAAAGTTTAAACACCCATCTTCATTATACTTTCCATATCATTATTATTTACAACAAAAATACATAAATAAATAAAATTAGTTTCATCCCCAATATCAAAGCTTCTGGAATACCTTACACTAACGTGGTGCTAAGTTCAACACACTTTGATGCTTGAATTGATAAAAAATTTCGTTGAAAGTAGTCAGAGTAGAGTTATAAGAGTATACCTCGCATTACTTCTATTTATAGAGGAAGTCTCGTTGTGTTGGTTTGGGTGGATCGACTTGATCGAATCCAACTAGTTGGGTGGTCCGATACGGGTGTTTAACTCAAACGGCTATGACAGATATGATTTAAAATAATGCAGTATAATCAAGTACGCATCTGAATAAAATAATAATATACAAGACAATATTTGACGTGGTTAGTTATAGAATATCCTTTTGAACTGAGTTTTCTAATATGCTTACATCATTTCCATCATTTTGTTATATCATGTTAAATTATCATTCATTAGTCTGAAATGAGTAGTGATAGGATAGATGGTTAGAATTATGAAAATCAAATTGAGAATTTAGGAGCATAAATTTGAACTATTTAAAACTCCAAATAAGCACAACTTGTCAAATTTAATGACTAAATTTCTAGTTTAACCATTTTTTTAAACCAAAAGTAATATATCCACACCCATGAATCAATAATCGTGTCAAACCTCTGAAGAGTTTAGGACTAATATCGGTAACCATAAACCTAGAAAAATAGAAATAAAAAGTAAAGAATTAAAAGAAAAAATCGGCTAATTGAAAATTGCAATATCAACTCGTTGAAGTCCATTTCATGAACCTTTAAAAAGTTTAAAAATCTAATTTCCACACTCATGAGAAATGAAAACGAAATTAACCCAATGTGTTTAAATTTCTTCTAACTTCAAATTTACAACAAGATTCCACTCCAATTTCCATACATAAAATTGTGAGAGCAAAAATAAGAAAGAGAAAAGTAAGGTCACAATCACAATCACATCAAGCAAATGTGCAAAATAAAAACGGAGATGGGAAAAAAAAAGAGAAAAAGAAAAAGAAAAGTGGGGGGAATCAATGATTTTGATTTGATTTTTCATTGGATGCTGTAATTATAAAAAAAGATAAAATCTTCAACTCTCATGAGCAACCACACAGGACAAATATCAAATATATGGCTTCAATGCACCTGACCTTAACAAGTCCATCAAAAACAGACAAAACTATATTGCATTTCTTTTTTCTTTTTTTTTTTTCTCTTTTTAATTTTATATCCCCACAACCAATTTAATTTAAATTCCCACTCCCCTCGATCAAAATTTCTTAATCTTTTCTTGCTTTTTGCGCGTGCCAATATGGCATAGAATATTGATCATAATCATATCTAAGTATTCTTCTAGAAGAAGAATATTGGGTTTAATTGATGCGTTCACCGTGTGGGTGATTAATTATATTGGACCTTCTTTTCCTTTTACAAGATAGAAAAAAAAAAGGAGATCAAATAAGAACATGCATATTTAAACTTCCGATCTCAAAAAGAAAAAAATAAGTGATTGAAGTATACTCGTGTTGGATTTCCTTTTTTTTTTCTTTTAAGGATAAAAATATGTAAAGCATTAATTAGCTCAGAGAAAAAAGAGAATCTAGTTGGGTTATGTGTCTGCGCATAAAGTAATTAGTTTTAAGTCATGGCCCCATCTTGCCTTATCTTGGTTGATAAATGCCATAGTCTTGTATTTTGTTCTGTCTTTTTGTCGTTATATGAAGAGAGAGAGAGAGAGAGAGAAGTGGATTGCTTTTTAAGTTAGTGAAAGATGGGGTTGGTAATCATAATCAAAGTGAAAATGAATGTTAAACTTAGGTTCCAAATTAGCATTATGGTACTTAATTAGGTAATTATCATACAAACATGAACCATTTAATTTACTTTTTCTATGGGCCAATAATTTACTTTGATTTGTGAGGTGGGTTTATCCAAATATCATTACTTGTTTTCCTCACCACTTGAGCTTAATTATGAACTATAATCTCAGTTATTGCTATATCTTTCTTATTTTAAACCAAAAAATACAAAAAAAAAAAATGGAAAAGTTATACAAAAAGTGGCATTTGATGAATTGTGGGAGATTCAAAAAATGGACATCTCAACTACAACCATTAAGAAACACTACTTCCATCTACGTGTCTCTTGTTATCTACTTTTTAAAATCAAAGTCATTTTAAAAGTTAAAAAATTAATTTTGAAAAATATTTTTATTTTTGAAATTTGGCAAAGGATCCCAATGTATTTTTAAAGAATGTGAAGAAACATCGAAAGGGTATAAATCAAGCATAATTTTTCTAATATAGAAAACCAAAAGCGAAATGGTTATCAAACAAGCCTGCATTTGTTAAAACTTCGTAATGTTAAAATTCATACAAAATAAATACCATAGTCTAATATTCATGCATTTTTATGTGATTCTCCTTAACAAATTTTTGCATTCTCAAACATTACTCTTTCTCTTTATTGAGATTAGGATGGGAAATATAATAACTTTAAATACTGGTCGACTTTGAGTCCAGCTTAATTTTAAGACATGTATTTTCAATAAAAAAAAAGTCGTGTGTTCGAAATGTTGTTGTACATAGAAAAAAAAACTTAAAATAGTTTGTGCAATGGGCATGCTTACGCTATTTTGAACCCCACACCACACCAATATAGTTATATAAAATGCGTTTTAGAACTGCTTACTTTAACTAAAACTTTAGTAAATAGTAGTTATTAAGTGATCCTAACAAATCAAATTTTGATGTTTAGTTCCACCCAAGTGTCCTTTCAAACATGACGATTTTGAGCGAGAAATATTTTTAGTATGGTGACTAGAATTAGACCATCRAACTTTTCCATGGTTCTATAGCATAACAAGTATTGTTTACTTTTAAGCATAAATTCTTATGATTTTACGTTTAGTTTTCAATCTAAAAAATATTATAATATTAATTATATATTCATAACATTCTCCCTCGTTAAATTGAACTTTGATAGTATTTCCAACAATCAATAGAAGGCGGATATGCATAAAACAATAAACCAAAGAAAATAACTTTAAATACTATTTTGGTCTTTGTAATTTTTACTTTCGTTTATTTTAATATATGTACTTCCAATAGGTTCATTTTGGTCAACGTAATTTTAAAAGGTGACTAATTATGTCAATCTTTATAAATTTTTAACACAAATTTCATACACAATAGAAATCTTTAATACAAATCTACGACTACGTCTCAAAAAACTTAGTGAATAAAGTGTCATCAAAAGAAATATGATAAAAGTAAAAATAAATGGATTAAAATGATCCATTCTTAACTGTGTAATGATCCTTTTGAAGGTAYAATGAATCAAATCCAAAAATACTAGAACCAGAATACTATGAACCAAAATTTTCAAATCTGATATAACAAACAAAGACTTTACTTGTCCACGCGACTAGTAAAGTCAGAAAATCTCAACCATACGACCCCTTAAAACTTGAAGGATAGAATGTAGACGATTAAGAATGCTCCATGCTAAATAAATGATTCCCACAACAGCACACCCAAAATCGAAGGATGAATTATTAAAGATAGGTGAGCCCCAAAGACAGACATAAATGCACGCATGGCATGGCCTGCAGCAGCAGCAATTCCCAATTTTCATATGTTTTCGACTTTAGTAAAATTAATGTAATGAGACAATAACTTTGGTGGGTCATGGGAGTGGGATGACGAACAAAGTCCAACTTCCTGTCCATAATTTTTTACCAAGTTCTATGAATTAAATCCCCAACAAAATACAAAATTCAAAATAACAACCAAATTAACAATTTGGCCCATTCACATCATCAAAGTTTTGACTTTTGTGACCCAACTTAGCCGCTCCTTCCGCCGACCATGTTCATTGTTCGTTCACCCTTTTTTGCAACCATTGAAACCACCTCACTACTCCCYTCCATCTTTTTCAATTATTCTCGTCACTCCRCTTTTCATTACGCACCCAAAAAGATACGYCTACAAGTAAAAGTCCAATGATCTTCCCTCTCATACCACGTGAAAGGTCGCCTTGCACTGATATGGTATTACCTTACTATTTTAAGCCAGTGTTCATTTGGTTCGTCTCGAAAGACGTCAGATCATTTTTTTTAAGCTTCGGATTTGATATATTTTTAAAATTTTATTTTGTGTCTCGACATCTTGTGAGCGTCCAAACATGTTGGTCTGTATTTTCAGGTGTTGGTGTGCATTTTGGGTAGCGAGTGGGGCCTTTCTTTTGGTACTTTCCTCCATGTCTTTGGACATTCACTAAAATCATTACTGTAAATTCCTCATCTTGTCTCTTCCAATCCTAAGTTTCTGTCTCTCTCTCATTACCCAAGTTTCAAACCACTTGTCCTCTGCTTTCAATATTTTATTTCCTTTCATGTTTCATGTGCTTCGCACTTCGCACACTTTAAAATTAAGTTTATTTATATTAACAGCCAATATATTTGAATCTCACCCCATGTTTCAATTAAAAAATAAAAATATATTTAAATAAATCTATTAATATCTGAATCTCAAACCTATTAGACAGTTTTTTATTTAAATGGAAGAAGATATTAGACATTTATTTGAGTAATATTCATCTGTTAAGTCAATGTTTTCAACTTTTTAGTCGGAGATATATGTTAATTATTGTTGAACTATGCTTACTTTGACCATAAATCAATGTTCTTTTGTCGTTGGTATTTCTTTTCTATTAAATTAGTCCAAGTGTTTTCTCACTTAGTCTGCATTTTATTTTGATGTTCTCCAAAAAAGAAAAGTGTACAGTTTGATTCTTTATTTTCTCCAACGCATAAGGAAAGATTCTCTAAAAGTAAAAGAGAAAGGAAGAGAAGAATTATGAACTTTTGAAATATATATATTCCTTGGAAAATAATTGGGTGGGTGACAACCAGNCATCAAACAAGGTTTAATATTCTAAATTAAATTAGAGGGGAGAGAACATGGTATTTCTTTTGTTCACATTAAAGAAAAAAAAAAGGAAAAAAGAAAGAGAGAGAGAGTTATATATATGTGTGTATATATATCATAATTAATGAGGAAAATAATTCTGATATTTTGAGTGTCATACATTCTTAGATTCAATTCTACAGTGACCATCAAAATTATCAAACAAAAATAGAAGTCCCAAAATTTATTTATTTTCTTGGCCGTGTTTCTCAGTTCTTTTCCAAAATTTAATTTTGATTATTGTGGAAAAAGTACAACAATATCTTCTGCTTTAAATATTAAAAAAAACGATCAAATTAGATCAGTTGTAGAATTTTATTAGTTAATTTGAATGGTTACAAACGTCTCCGCTAATTTAATTGTCTTTTTTTTTTAAGAAAAATGAAAATTCATTTGTTGTGTTGTGTGGGACTTAGTCCAGCGTGTTCTTGTCGTTCTCTCGACCAGTTCAGGTGAAAGAGAAGGATGATGAAGGAGAACCAGATGTCGAGACGGAGAAGCAACTGGTCCCGACTGCTGATCTTTTGGAGTAGTCTTTGCCTGGACAACATAATGGTTTCGCCGCCAAGAAGAAAGCAAATTTTTATCTATTTATCAAATGGATGTGCGGTTTTTTTTTTGTTTTTTAGTACAACACGTTGGGAGGGGATTCGAACTCACAACCTCTTGGTTGGAAGTATATGTCAATTATTGAGCTGTGCTCATTTTGGCGGACTTGTGGTTTTATTTGTATTGCTTTTCTTCCCAATTTACTTGGATAAGATCCATGTAATAGTTGACCTCAAAGTTTTTTTTTTCTTTTTAATTTTTGAGTATAATAATTACATGTGGGAATTCACACTCAAGACCTCTCGATTAAAAATAGGTGTCAATTATCTTTGAGTTAAGTTTCATATGGTTTACCTTTAAAATAAAAAATGGTAACAAAAGCTTCTCAAAGCTTATGACATATATAAACTAATTAATAATAATTATATCTCTATCCAATTTTTGTGTCTCAATCTTTATCCTTTTTAATTTGTTTAACACTATACTCTTCCTCCCATCCAAATAAAAATTTAAAACCTATGTAAAAAAGCAATTCCRATGGTCAATCTAAATATAATTGATACTATAGGATCAATCTAAACATAAACATAACTGATACTATATCTAAACATAACTGATATTATATGGTCAATCTAAACATAACCGATACTATATGTTATAGGGTGAAAAATGACAAGTCACGTGTCAATTATCAAAAGTTGGTACATTATCTAAATAGTTATACTTTGGATGACGAAAGCCGACCAGTTGACTATCCTTCTATGTCAACTAGGCGGAGGTCATGAGGTCGAATGGTCAAAACTCAAAAAACGCTTAACTCTCCACTCGCCACCATACCAAGTAGTGTGCCTAATTTTTTGGAGCGTGCATCGTGGCCAATCATGATGCTAACTATCTAACGTCTATAAATATCGAAGGTAAATTCATTATCAAATACACGCAAATATGTGAATACACTTAAGAGAGAAATAGTTCGAATGAAAACTAACTTGAACTTCTAAGTGATCAGTATATTTTGATGGAGATCCAGACTCATGAACCCAAAAAGAGTAAATTTTGTGCTCAAACAATACACATTCCGTTTAGTAATATATTTCCCGGATCATTTCCCATGTCAGCACTGATTCTCAGAAACAGACAAAGTAGCAAGAACCTTAAAGGAAGTAAATCAATTATCTGTTACAAGAATCTGCCAGAAAAGGCAACAAGAACAGGAAGAAAAGAATGAAATAATTTGGTTGCTTGGGGAAAGATAAAATTCAATTGTGCTAAGTACAATGGAACAAGTAAAGAACTTCAACAAGAATCAATCTTCCATGGGATTTGTCCCCTTTCCTCTGTTTTTGTTCTCTGATCACTTTCTAATTCTCCTCGCTATGGAATAAATTCATACTGGCAAGAGTTATGGCCTGCATCCAAGCATTTAGACAATGAAAAACTCTGATGTATACGCTGGTGTGCAACCAAATATGATAATCGAGATACCATCTTTATTTTGACCCTACTACATTTGGTTGGCAAGATAACTCATGGGATATTAAATCCTAGAAAGGTGGGCACCATGGTTTAAGTCCATCTCCTCTGAACCCTTTGTTATTTACATTGGCCTTTATTGACCACTAGGTCATCCCATGATGGTTCTTACAGAATGGTTATTTTAAGACTTTGAGGCTCGAGAAAGATATAGATCGATCTGAACTATTATTGCATCTAATGTTCAAGAAAAACAAAGTTTGAGCTTAATTATAAAAACAATAACTTGTTTTGCGAGTCATCTCGAAGATAGCTTAGTGGTTGAAGCATCTCTATGTCTCCTAAAAAATCATAAGGTCAAATCCTTACCCCGCATTTTCGATGAAGAATTAGTTTTATAATTTTTTCAGTTCAAAAAACTAAAATTGTTCACTAGATAATAATAATTAATCGAATAAAGATTTACGCTGAACAATCCTCGGGTAATAATGGAACAAGGTCACTCTTTTAGCATAAAGCTCACTCTTATTTTAGTTGAGAATCAACTTTGTTAATTAAGAGAAATGAAATGGAATGATTCTCTCTTTTTAATTTCCATGCTCGAAAGTAAGCACAATCGAGAATGATTCTCCCTTTTTGCTTAACATACATCCAATCTTACAACCTTTGAGATTTTTATAATGTTCTTTTAACATCTTTTTCATCGAGTATGTCACTCAACATGCTTGCTTAATGGCTTCCACATGGGTTCACAGTATAATCTCAATAATGTAAAAAGATTATAGCACTGCGATGATGGGAACTTCAAAAAAAAAAAAAAAAAATTGGTCCATAAACTTCAAGGATTTTGAATTTTCTATGTCTAATATGTTTCTGTACTTTAAAAGCTGTCTAATAGATCTATGAATGACTTATTACTTTCAATGTTATTGTCTAATATGTTTATGAACTTTAAAAGCAGTCTAATAACTCCCTAAAATAATTTTTAAAGTTGAAGACTTTTAGACAAAACATTGTGAGTTTAGAGATCTAGTAAAAATGATAGAAAGTAAAGAAGTGGCTTACTAGGATCAGTCTCAGTAATGATGGCAGCTCCTTTGAAGAAGCAGGATCCACCGTGGTGCTTGAAGTTCTGGAAGTAGGAGTTGAAGGCAAATGAAGCATGGTCTTTCACTGTATTTGGGTAAAAGCAAGATTGGTTTCCTTGGATCTTGCTGCAGTTGGCACCTCCTCCTCCACACGCCCAATCCAAAGCCATTTGCAATTCATCATCTGGGCTCTGCTCGTCTGCTACACACCATTGCTCAAACTCCCCACCTACTCATTTTAACAAACACTTGGTGGGCACAATATAATCAAACCAAGAAATTGTAGAAATGAAAACTTGGAGATTTGTACTGAGCATTCTTTGACTTGAAAATTTCAAGTGGGTTCTGGTCGTTACCTGCTTTTTGCTGAATTGTTGACAGTAATAGCAGAGTTAGCAGTGTTCTTGTCAAAACAGCAGCCATGGCAGAGAGAGAGCGATGCATTCGAGAAAGAGGGCTTGCCCTGTTGCCCATGTGCTGCTATTTATCAAATTTGATTACAACTAATTAAGCAAAAACAGTTGATATTCCCCAAAAGATGGCATATATTAATCCGAATTGGCTTCCAAGTGGGTAGGCTTAGGCCATACCTCAAAAGAAAAATGGCATCGGTTTTGTACAATCAAAACCATGGCATCGAATGGAACTAGATGTACAGGAAATCGTGATTTTATTACTGAAAATGATATCTTGATTAGCAAGGTATAATTTTTGGACAAAAATCAATACAAGATTAGCCATAATAGAAATTGGGATGAGAGCTCTACGTTGAATCTAATCTCTAAGTAGAGATTCTCCAACCCTCGTGATTTTAATTCTGACCGCAACGAATGAGACAAAAAAAACTCTGCAATATCAGAGGTGGAGAATTCATTATCCTATCCAAACTTAGATCGTAAGTAGATGGCATTCCAATACTCTCTTTTTTATATACACATCGAAACGATAATTTCATTGATGAATGGAATTGCATATCTGAAACGAAATTACAAAAAATTGTCTAATTCGATACAAGATCGTTAAGACTATGATTTGTAAACAGGACCGTGACGTTTACACCCATCATACTTGATTCTACTTTTCAGGTTCTGGTTCCATATCTCACATATCAGAATTCAGATGACAGGAGAAGTCAAACAAAATCATCTTTCTTGGGAGAATTAACAATAACAATGATCTGCTACTTTTTCTTACATTTGGTCGTTTTTTTAATGATAAAAGTAAAACCAAAAGAGAAGCATAACTCAAGTTGAAGATGCAGCAAAAGTGAGAAGGGGGAGAGAGATTTGCAGGGGGGTGGACAAAACAGAAAAAATAATCTAATCTTTTACTAAAATGCAGCTTTACAGAAGTGATTTATAAATATACATCAGAATATTACATGAGTAACATTACAAACTAAACTACATCATTTAAGACAAATTGTTTATATACATGAGAATATACAGTACTCTTCAAATGTCAGTTCTTTGAAACAGCAGCAGATCTTCCTCAAATATGAAACTCTGGTGTTTCTGATTATTAGACATTGATGGTATTTTTTTTAATCCATCAGAGTACAAATAACTAATGAAAAATATCGAACAATTTGTAGTCAGCTTGGAAAATGGTGACATTTCTATCTTCGCGTATGCAGTACGAGGGCGGGTTTTGATAAGCCATTTCAGAGAAGATGAAAAGCCACCGTGGTTTCATATATTAGTGATTTTGACATATCACAACATTTGAGTCTACCTATGTCAAGATAAAGAATTGTATTAATCATTCAGCCTTTCCTGTTTAGCAATAAGAAAAAGAGAAGGAAGGCACTTACTGACAAGAAGTCAAGGGCCATCTAGGAAGCCATCAGTTAGTTTTTGGCAGTTGGAAGGAGACGATAAAAGGCAAAACCATGGATTCTGCATCGTTTGCTCGCTCTTCCCTGGCACGCACTACTAGACTACATAATCATGGTTGTCATTCCTGAAACAATTAGCAAAGAAGTCTATTAAGTAGTGATAGAATAATGGAAAAGATTCAAAAATTTTCGAACAAATGAGTGAACACTAGGTGCCTAGAATATTACAAAATAAAAGAAACTTAAGACAATGTGCAATTGAAATAAAGCTCAGCTTCTCCACTAGAGGGATTGCCCTTGATGTGGTCGTTTCTGTAACTGGATAACCAGCACTGAAAACCGTCTTTACATTGGATATCAACAACCGGTGGTACAAGACATGTTGGAAAAGGTAGGAAGATTCATGAAGAATTAAAACTCATTGTCAACTTTCATATATGGAGAGTCAAAACTGAAATTGATGGTGCAGAAGAATGGTTGCACCAGGACGCCACCAAAAAAAGGCCAAAATTACGACTGAAATCATGTATTCATCATCAAGAAATCTGTAAACAAAATTTGGACATTTACCATGAATTCAAAGATGAGAACAGGACCAGATTAACTCCATCCACCATCTGATTGCCGGATAGAGTAGTCAGAAGATGGGCAGCCACAATCTGGAGCCATCCATCCTAACATAAGAGGAGGGAGTCGGTCGGAGAATTAAGAAACAGTTATTTCCACCACGTGCTGGATTGTGTCAAGCAGTCTCAAAAAAGCATGCTACAGCTGAATAAAGTTGCTCTTCTTCAAATGGCTTAGCTACATAACCATCCATCCCACACTTCAGGCACTCTTCATTCATAGCCTGAATTAAATCTGCTGTCATAGCAAATACTGGCGTGTGCCAATGTACCTTACTCTCCTTAGTTGACACTTCTCCAGATGTAATTTTCGTATTCACCATACTTTCTACAGCCCGGACCTGTCTTGTAGCTTCATACCTGCATATAATATGTAACGCACATCATGATTACAGCAAGCAAATGTATGTTGATATGAAATTTTTATTCTTTAGAGGAAAAAAAAAGTGCTTGTTTGTTATTCTAAGTGAGTGTCCCTTTATCAAACCAAACAAACGGCGATTAGGCAGTTGGAAAAAGAAGCAATATAATAATATTAGTTTTGGGAACCTCTTGTATTATTCATCGACAAAGCCATGCCAAAAACTCGATGTTGCCTATGACTACTCCCAGGCACTATGCTCGGTAAGTAATGAGTATAAAGAAATTTCATAAAAGGCAGGAAGATGATTACCCATCCATCTCAGGCATCTGGAGGTCCATGAAGCAAGCATCAAAGTTGTGCGGTGGGTTGAGGAGAGCCACAGCATCCTTTCCACTTTTTACACAAGTTACAATCACTCCGTATTTCTTTAGCGCGCCTTCTGCCACCCTTCTGTTTACCGCATTGTCATCCACAACCAAAATATGCTTTCCTTTCAGCAGATTTCCAAGAGTAGATGGTCTTTTAATAATTACTTGATTCCTATTCCCAATACCGAGGGCTTCTCGGAAGCAACTGACCATCTCGTTTAACTGAAGAGGTTTAGTTAATACGTTATTTACATGACCAGAGGATTTAAGTTCATTTTGCTCAATGGAGCTAACGGAGGCCAACAGGAAGAGCTTTGGAGTATTCATCTGGACTTTTGTCACGCTTTTATCCACATGCTCTCTAAACAAAAGATGGAACTTGAGACCCACTTTCTTGTCCCAAACGTCTTTGTCTATAAGAATCATGGCCAATTGTGTCGATGCTCTGTGGATTTTGAAAACTAAAATGCATTAGTAAATATGAAATATGATATGGTAACAGTGTATCCTTTCTGACCTTAAAATATCATTAAGATAAATCTACATATTCTCAATGTAGGAATTATAAAGAAATATGCTAGATCAAATCCGAAGTCCATATAAATGGTTTAAGAAGCCAGGTGACCATAATTGAAACCAGAAGAATTCTTAACAGATTCATTAGATGGAGTAGAATATTCATTATCTAATGGGTGAGTTGACTGCTCATTTTGCCGTGAAAGAAAACTTATTGAGCCTTGAATTGGCCTACAGTCTTGTTATCCAATAGTGAAGCTTGACACTCAAATGCAAATTTTCCTTCAGTGACACCTTAGATGAATAAAACTAATAAGACTTACCTTGTGTTGGAAGTATTAGATAGATATCGATAAGCAGATTCTGCACTCAGAGCTATATCAACAGAAATCCCCAACCTCTGCAGATGATATCTTGTGACCTCTGCCCGAATGCAGCTATTATCTATTATTAATGCTCTTAGCCCTTGGAACTCCAGAACACCAAGATCACACTGCGGCCATCTTGTATCCAGCAAACTTACTTCCCCTTTCTGGAAAGAAACATTAAACGAAAATGTGCTACCCACACCAGGCTTACTCACAAACCCAATCTCCCCATCCATAAGATCAACCAAACATTTGCTAATACTCAGTCCAATTCCAGTGCCACCATACGTCCGTGAAGTGGAGCTATCCGCCTGCATAAAAGGTTTGAAAATTTGGTTTTGTGCATTTAGGGGAATTCCTACACCTGTATCCTCAACAGTCACGAGTATTCGAATTGTTTTGGGTTTCTCCTCTGCATCTGTCCTGCTGAACTTTTTGAACTCTTCCCAGCTCTTCCATCTGTCCACCACAGGTAACCCACTAAATGTGGTACAACTATTGTTTGATGTATCTCCAACTAAATGTGTGCCTTGTCTAAGCACAATGTCCATAAAATCAACTGGGCCTCTCACTTCATCAGCCAGATGCACCGAGACAAGTATGTGTCCCTTTTTATGAGTAAACTGCATTAGAATCCGGACAAATTTTGCATCATTATAATGGAAGTTCAAATCAGCAATCCAAAAAGAAAAAATTGGCATCATAATTTCGAACAAAATACAGGGTTGAATAATGAACAAATGGGGCTTCATAACGAGCATCATAACTAAAAAGTTTTAAGGTGACTGTTTACCCATGAATCAAAATC